TGAATTTTGATCATCGATTCCTTCTTCAATTCCTGCAAAACGTCGAGCTAATTTAGCAAGTAAATCAGCTTGTTGAGATATTTGTTCTGTATATTGTCGAATCTGTTGAGCTTGTTGATCAACAATTTCAATAAGCATTAGACATGTACGACACTTAACAAAAGAAAAAAAGTCTTTTTTTTTGTTTATAATATTGAATATTTACTTGATTTGATTGTTGTTGTGGTGCTGGTTGTTGTTGTTGTTCTTGAAGAATATGAATATTTATAGGTTGATTCATGTCATTTTGATTATTATTTATTTGATTATTTTCAATTACAATGGGTTCATTCGAATTATCTTGATCAATGATCTGTTGACGTTCTACAATCGAAGGTGATGATGGATATGTATGAATTGTTGATACTCGTCTAGAAAATTTATTTATAATAAAGAAAAGAAAAATATTTGAATCTACTGATGAACAAAATCAGTTTCAATGGTTGAAATCGAATGAATAGATGAATGTGTTCGTCGTAAAGATGAATTATGATCAGAAAATGTTCTTATATATGGATGATTTCGATGAGAATTATAATCTTCTCGACGATGAACTGGACATGGATGATGAGAACGATTATCATAATCATCATCAGCCAATTGAAGACGAATAGCATCGATAGGTTTATCAGATATTTGTTTTGGAACATAAAAATGTTCACGAAATGTTAATGGACGATTTATTGATGTTTTATTCATACCCTTGAAAGAAATCTTTTATTCAATCTAAACAGATGTAAAAAAAAAACTAAAAAAACTTACTCCACCACAAATAAATTGATTTCGAAACGGACGACGATGAGTCCAATTCATGTTTTATTGAATTAAACCAATGTTTGTTTGTTCATTTTTACATTATACCCGCACATTCTTTTAAATCGGTTCTTTTATGAAGATTTTTTATATATATAAGAAAATTAAAAGAAAATAATTTTCACGAAAAATAAAAAAAAAATTATTGAATTTTATTTTATTTTTATTTTGATAAAACGCCATCTATTGTTATAAGAAAGATCGAGTATTTCGAATAGGAGAGACGATAAAAGTATTTTGCATATAATACTGAGAAAGAATTTATTAGATACGAAGTTTTAAAGTAAAGTAGTTGATTATTAATCTCTATTTCAAAGCATCGAATAAACTCTTGTAGAGAGTTCCGAATGATATAAAATTTTTGAACGACAGAAGAAAATGATCCAACTATAGAATTTTGATGAAGAAACTTTCGTTGACCATCAACAAGAAAATTCTAATGAATTGCCATTCTTTAATTTAATTCACGTTTATCTGATAATTAAAAACAGTACAACGGGAATGATAATTAAACAACCGAACGTTTAAAAATTAGATCAGTTATTGTTAATCATTTTCATTTTTTTCGTAGAATAAGTCTTGTATAAAATGTGCATCTCTAGTAAGATATTGAACACCTTAGACGAATTTTGGAAATATGAATTGTATGATGATACAATTATAAATGAAAATTTTGAAGCAAACTTTAACTATAAAAACTAATTGATCAAATGTATTATCAGCGAATTCACATTTGAATACAACTGATCGAACTTGAATTTCTTGCGATCTTCCATGTTAATAGCAAACAATATTGCAACCAATTGACAAGCTCATCTTTGCTGAGTAATAATCAGTCAATAAACGTTCAATGTATGGAGATACGTCATTCGATCGAGAAGATACAGACTGCTTCTTTAATTATCAATTTGAATGAGAAACACTTCATATTGAAGTCCTAATTGTGAACAACATAATTGAACACACTCTTCATGATGAAACCATAGCTTTTTGATATCCTAGATCATATCCTTGTAAATCAAGTTGAATCATTGAACGACTTCTGTTTTTGACGAGAGACACTACTGAATTTGATCACAAGTGACATTTATATGAGTCAATGCCCATCCTTCAATTCTAAGACACTCGTAATTGCACCTGTGCACATGATCGTAATAAGAATATGTCGATTTGGCTAGCATGTTGTTGTATTTTTCAAAAGATTTAACAGTGAGTCTAGAAAACATGTGTGGGGATGATCGATGGTACAGAAAATGATAGCTGTTGATCAACCTTCATGAAAAAAAAACATCCAAATGATAATGAATAAGTTTCGGTAAACTTCAAATGATATCAATCAGCTTTTTATACATTCTATCATGGTAATCGACAAAGTAATATTTGATCAAGTCGAGGTGAATAAGATTAAGAAGATAACGGAGTTCATCAACCATGATTTCAATTCAAGAAAGTCGAAACAATGAAAATGATTGCAATTGAGTGAATTGACAAAAAAGTGAATAAATACAAGAAGAATAGATTGATTTGTTGTGGAATAATATCATCGTTCGACAGACAAAGTGAAATGATCTGACCGTTCATGGATGGAATGAGTGAATAGAAGATTGTTAAAACAAGTATTGAGACCATGAAATGCAGGAAGAAGATGAATAATGAAAAAATATTCAAATAGATCGAATAGTAATTCATTTCTGGTTTTAACATACAATATGATGCGTTAGATTGACTCCTTTTCTCATTCAAGATGCAAAAATGTGAATTATTGAAGTGTTTAGCTTTGTTTTATTTTTATTTGGCTAACGAATGAGTTGCTTATAATAGTGATATTTAATTCTTTTGTTTTTCATCAGAGAATATAACACTTAACCGTGATGCCTATGCAAACAAGCAAAAGCATTTTATTCAATCATTCATTTTGTGCTGACAGTGAAGACGCAAGGAGATACGACAATTGAAAAAGCCTACAGATATGTTAGAGTTATTATTTTGGTCTACCAAGAAAACTAGTGTCGCAGCATATAGTGCATCAAGAACTATCAAACGAAAAATGGATGATTCCCATGTTACTATATGTAAAACTATTCTAATGAATGAGAGCAAGATTTTCGTCTCACGTTGCCAAATCTTGATATATATATATATATATATATATATCTAGAAAAAGTGGTTGTCTGATTTTCAAATGTTCTCTAATAGAATTCTAACACTTTCTAATTCATGCACTGCTGATGGGTGACTAGTGGGTATAAATGAAGAGAAGAGTCACACCCACATCCTAGATTGAATAACTCATCAAAGGAATTTAATTATCTATATGTTCAACAACAAGTTCATTTAAAAACTATTTAAGTGATCAAAACTGAAGATAATTATAGATCGACGATTAAATGAATTTTATTCAGATACCCATACTACTACAGCATCACTTGTTATTGATTTTTAATAAAACTGAAATTCGACAACTTTTCAACAAAGCAGTATAAAGAAAACCTTGTATAAAAGTATATATGATTCATAATCCTAGTAATACAAGTTCGTTTATCATTTTTCTAGTTTTATTCAAAAAGAAGACATGTAAACTTTCGATGTTTTCAACATACCATTTTCGAAAACAAAAGAAAAAGAGTTAAAATTGTATATAAACAACGTTTTTTTCTTTTTTTTTTCGATAGTAATATAGACAAACACTGCAATGCAAGGGTGACAAAGGTATATTGTTATTCTACTTCAGTGTTTCTCTACATTTCTATATAAAGAAAAAAAACATTTATATACAATTCTAACTCTTTTTTCTTTTGTGTTTGAAAATGTTAGTATTATCATTTATTAAATATATTTTATTTAACAATATAAATATGATTCATAATCGTATACTATATGACTAATATTGATTCATTTTCGCTTAAAGCTAAATTAGCTTCAGTTATTGTGTGACATGAATATCAAAACGATTGGTGATTTGTTTACTATTTCTAATCAATATTGATTCACACACATAATAAAAAGTACATTCTTACACCAATAATGCAAAACATGTCCAAACAAATCCTTTTGATCAAGTCGCTAAAATGGTTTGTTTTGTTTTATTTCTACATCACTATGTAACTGTCGATTATGGTTTAATCAGCAATGTGCAGACGAGGTGTACAAAAAATAAGCATGAGGATAATGCGTGATACGGGAGAAAAGCATAGAAGCGAAGATAAAAAAAATAACATCAAATGCATAATTTTTACTCAGCGACTTTCGTCATCAAGTATTTGAAAAAGTATAGATCGGATAAAGAAAGAGAAAAATAACTATGAATAAAAACAAATTTCTCAAAGCCTTGACAGAGAAAAAACCCACCCCAAATATATATATATGGGATACGCCGGATGCCCCAATTATCTATTTAACATGCAGCTTCTATAATACATCCAAAATGATATGATTTTTTTTTACCAACTATAATACTCGTATAGTGGTAACTATTTTTTATTGTTTTAATTGTGTATCTTATTCGAAACTAACATAATCAAGAGTCAACGTAAAATCTTTTGATAAGCTTAAATTTTATCAACCTTTTCCATTTATTATAACTTTTACCTGACTGCTTGGTGTTCTAAACTGATTGTCCTCGCTTAATCGTACTATTTATAGGGCAAGAGCAGCTAATGAAAATATTAAACAACGCATTACAAAATACGCAAGTTTTAGGATATATTTACAGGAGACCTTTTAATTACTAAAATTGTATATGTTGTTTCTGCTTTATGTAATCTTAAGATAGATAGATTCTCTATTCGTAGTTATAGATCATGACACGTTATCTATTTTTCTTGACCTTTTATTTCTAATAAAAGTTTTGACAGCAGTATTTCTTGCTCTTTCAAATAGCAAGTAAGATTTACCGTGAATAAGTTTGATAAAAATATATTTTACTAAAAATAGTTTATGTAGACTCTTGATTATGTCGGTTTCGGATAAGGTACACAATCAAAACAATAACAGATAGTTGGCATTATATGAGTACTATAATTGTTAAAAAAATCATGTTAAATAAATAACTGAAGTGTATGGTCAGACTGACCAACTTCATATATATGCTTTATAGTCAAAGTTATTGATGAACTTTTTTTTTCTTTTCATACTATTGATATTCAATAATGGCTTCACATTCAATACCTTCTGGTTCTAAAACCACACATCTTAAGAAAACAATTTTATCTGGCGGTAATTTTCATGATAAGTATGATGTTCTTATTAAGTTTTACTCAGCACAGGTTCGTTTTTGAATGATCTTGTTAAATAAGTACATTAAATTCTTCATTTCTTTTTTAGAATTTACCAAAAAAATGCATAGCTGGACATATTGATCCATATTTTGTAGCCGATATAGATCATCAAATTTCATTTACGTGAGTATCTAACAACTTCGGTTCGCAACTAGATAGTAGATATGCTACATCGCCTGTTTCTATGATTAATACAAATCCCAAACATTCTTATCTACTCAACAATAAAAAACAATCTTTTCATACAACGATTTTATCAAAAGATGTTTTCTCTTTTTTTTAAAGTTAAATATATGATCTATTTTAATACAAAACTATAGATCAACTATTCTTTCAAATACATTAAATCCTATATGGAATGACGAAGAATGGATTGTTCGAAATGTTCCATCCACGGCTAAACTTACTGTTAAAATCTATGATAAAGAAGATGGAAAACTTGCTGATAGCTATATCGGTCGAGTTGTAATTACAGATCTTATTAATTATGATCCTTCTTTAAAAGGTTATAAAATCATTGGACCATTTAATCAATATAACGGTCGTTTTCATTTATCTATTCAATCGAAAAAGGTATCTAAAGAGACTAAACAACTTTGTGAATATGCATACGATGGCCCTTGTCGATATTCCCGTCATGATTGTATTGCTGTTGGTCGTTTAACTATGATCAATACTGATTGTCTTTATCCAACATGGAAAATACAAATGAAAAGAATTTCACACTTTTTTCCACCTAATGCACGACAATATTGGAGTAGACAATACCAATCAGCAAGAACGATTTTTGGTGATTATCCGCTTTCAATAGTATTACAAGCTGGAATCAAATTAGCCCATAGAACACTCTTTAGAAAAACATTAACACATAATGATACTGGTCAATTGAAGAGTGCTGATGATCTTTGGAAATTCTTGCTTTTTGATAAAGCAACAAAAAAAATTAGACCATGTGTTTATACATATATTATTGATGATAATACATGGAGATTTAGTGAAACAGGAAATCAATTTTTTACGGATTTTGCTAGTAAACATGCTATATTAGCTAATTGTTCAGAATATATTCTTTATGGAGGTCAATTTCATCCTCGTCCAAAATATGGATGGAATCGATTAAATGATGAGTGGGAATTAGTATTTGATAATGTATCTGGTACTTATGCACCAAATGGTGATTTATTAGTAAATTTGAAAGCATTATTGTTATTTAATTTTCCTGGATTAAATATTGTTACATATAATTATAAAGATCCCAAACTAAAACAAAGCTTAGAAGATGTGAGATTAGCAGCCGAAAAGTTTAAATATAGTACAGAAACACTTGAAAACACGCCAGTCATTATAAACAATCTATTCTAAATGAGTGTCTGTAAAATCTAACATGTAAATAATGTATATAACAATAAGTTTTTTTTTTTATCATTGAAAATAAAGCTTCATAGTTTTCTGTAAGATATTATATTCAACACATATTTTATTAATTAATAGTGAATTCAAGATTTTGTTTTTCGTAACATTTTCAAATGCAGAAACTGTTTTTTCAATAATCTTTTACAGTAAGTAGAGTTTTGTTTATGATATGTAGATTATTAAATAAAATGTTATTTTAACGTGAAATCAATTCATTTTAATAGACTTCAAAACTTTTCAATATAAATTTATGTTGGATAATTAAACGTATTGGCATCAAGCTATTTGATAATTTGTTTTATTTAAATGAAGCTTAGCTTTGTAATCATTGCTATATGCAACTACTAGGTATTTGTTGATGTTTTATTGCATTTAATAAAAAAAAAAAAGAATTTTATACTCATTTGTGTCATTATGATGACTTCACTTTTTAATTGCACGGTCAACAGGATATTGAAGATATACACAAAAAAATTATGATTTATTCTCAACAAAAAATTCCCACAGAACCGATTGTTAATAGATTACTCACGATATTGTTATTAATACGTTAAACAAATTGTGAAAAGTTATAACCAACGTTCATTTTACTTTTGCCATCAATGCTATGCGCTATCAAACACTTTTGGTTGATAGTCTGAAAGATTGCTTTTATTTCAAGTCTACAATTACAAATGTTTTCTGACTCACCTGTAAAAAATGCTAGAGTATACTAATTAGTGACACTACACTTAAGACTTGATAGAAAAACACAGTTTTTAGGGTGTTCTTCGTATTTTTAACTTTGCTTTGCGTTCACTCATTGGTTCGAGTCCAGAGGCATCTCAGAAGATGTAGAAATGGTTTCTCTACAAAATTGACTAACTCAATACCTTCCATAATGCTTTTCATTAATGGATACCACCTATACACAAGCAAAATGGTAATTGACTATTATCACAATTTTCTACTAATTTGTCTCTAACCATACTGCAGGATGCTAGCCCAAAATAATTTTTATATTTTCTGAAAGTGTTCGTAGTTTTGCATTGTTCAACGTAATGATTAAATAAATTAATACATCAACAAACATAGTTAGTTCATATTAAAAAAAAATTGGCAAATAATGTTCATTTCAATTCATTCTAGTCCATAATTTGGTAGCATATATTTCATGTTCATTCGAATCAAAAGTATACCTTCAGATTCATAAACAATATCAAAAACTGAGTACAAAAGTTTTATTTAGCTGGATGAACAGTTAATAATAAGTTCAAAATATGCTATTGAGTACAGATAGATAGCGTATGTCTTAATGCATATATTTATAAATGCCTTTGTAAACTTGTCTAAGTGTGAATGTGAGTTTAGGAGTAGTAAAGAACAGTATCTATAGACATACCCGAAATGCAAATCGTAAGACGAAGAAATTGATCTCAAATTTTGTCCTGAAATATAGGTTGTCGTAGAATCAAGGCACGAAGATCAAGAACTGTCAATAGTTCGAACAGTGGTAATCATGTATGCTTACTCTCCGTCCTACGATAATGTTTGAATATTGCTGTGTATCTATCTATCTGATCTAACAACTAGAAAGTTTGAAAGACACACTAACGAAACGTCGTATCTAATCGATGGTGATGAAGAGATCGATTGGTTTGATTTGTTAAGCTCAAAGATTACTGTTGCATTTTCTCAGACTGAAATCTGTATGTAGTCATCAGTGAGGCTAATCTCTCTCTATTTCGGAGTTCAACTAATGAACAAACCGAAAGTTTGCACGTTTATGCTGAAATTTGTATCGGCAGAGGAGCGCAGTCAGTGTGGTCTTCTCTGGTCTGGCACTGGATAACACGAGCTCTACCGAATAGACTGGTTCTTCATTGATCATAGTTGAATAAAATAGTAATTGGAATCACTAGTGTGAGAAAGCAAGAAAATGATCATCAACAATAGTCGAATGAGAACCTTTCAATTATGGACGACTCTCAGTAGTATAACGTTCCATGCACATATCATAAATATGTTTGTAATAGCCGTATTGATAGAGCTTTAACTAAGATGTGAATGCTTCTTCTGGAGTTGTATCCAGCTGCAGATTATCCAGCATCTAGAATACATCTAGTGTGAATCTTGTTTACTTCTTTAGTTTCTACTTTTGGTCTTCGATAGACATTTTCCGTTCATCTATTCTCAGCAAGTCACAGAACCTTGAAAGCTCGTATGAGAATTATTCATCTTGACAATGAAATCCATATGAAAGTTTCATCTGTACTTGATCATCATCGAATTCAAAGCTCGATCTAATGAGTAGAGAATATTTTGCCAGATTCAACTCCTCTTTCTTTCGGATCTTGCAGAAATACCTGCATTACTTGTGATGAAATTAACCATCATCTACAAGACACATTGGGCAACATTGGTTCTTGTAAGCGATTACCTGTGGGCAATAAAAGTTAATTAGGTCGTTGGCAAGGGTGTGGGTATGTGTACTATACTCAGTCATAGTTTTGCATTTCCAGGTCACATCTACACCCTGACATCAACCGTAAACTATTTATCAAAATACCATGTATAGTGAAAGGATTCATGAAAATTTGATGTTGGGTTTATTATTCTACGTTTTTTTTTCTTTACAGTGGCCAACTATTCACACACACACACACACCTACACGGTATCGAATAACATACACAAACCCTCATTCAACCCACTCTCACAAAGAACAAATAAAAGAACGCAAGAGTTTGTAATAGTTATTATTGGCAAACTTTGCCAACGTATGCATCTACAGTTGGAGGCGATGATTACTGGTTTGTTAAAAAAAAAGCTGCGAAAAAAAACAAGTATACACACTTTCCTGATTTTTTTTGTCAATATATTTCAAGTAACTCACTTTCACCCGTTGAATTTTACTTTTTTTTTCTTCGTTATGCCATAAAACTCAGTGAAGAAAAGAAACAAGGCCAAAGGAAATTTTACACCATAGAACAATTTTTATATAACAAAAGGTAATTTTTTATCCAGACTCTATTCTGAGTTCAAGAGATGATAGTGTGTGTACGTGTGCTCTAGAGACAGAATTTCGCTTCAACATAGAAAGATGTCATGAATGGAGAAATAAGACATTTTTTTCTCACTGATTGGAATTTATTTCTCTTTTTCAATTTTCATTACAGCTTGAATAGTCATAGTTGCGCACGTCTCTTTTATTTCATTTTCTCCCCAAAAAAGAAAACGAAGCACATTTGTCGTTTATGTCAAAACAAAATCAACTTCCTTTTACTTCAAAAGCAAAGTGCATAGAAATTCTAGCTTCAAATGGACAAGGAACGATCACATAAACGATACTGATACGCAAACAATATCAATATCAATCTATAATTCTCTTCATCTTGTCATTCGGGAACCAGTTAATACATCTTCGTCCACATTGAGTTTGATGGATTCTATCGAGCTGATTTGTGCAACAGCGTGACATGTACGATGATACTTAGTCCAATTAAAGCTATACTTTTCTGTAAGATTATCTTTTGCAATTAAAGTAAAAGTAACCTTCTCTTGTTTTAAAACACAAGAAGTCTCTTTTCTCTTCTTTTTTTTTCAAAAGGAAAGTTGAAGAAAACTGGTCATATACTGAGAATTATTAGTCATTAACGATGCTTACGATCATCATTAACGGATTGTAGCGATGAATTTTCTTTTCTTTTCTCACAGAAGACAAGTAAAATAAAGTGACAACCATTGTTACATTTCTGTTTTGTCTATGTGAAGCTAAATAATTTTTCATCGATCATACGAGACTGCATTGGTGAAACCGAGTGAATGTCGCTTACGTAAGTGCAAAAGCTGTTCTTCGCGTAAAAGAGAAAAATAGATGGCAACGCCATGTAGAAGGACAGAAAAATGCTGCTACCATGATTTTTCTTGTCGAGATGTAGAAGTAGTAAATCCAAAGTACTTTTACTAGAATTCAGAAAACATGCAACTGATTTTCAAGAGAAAAGATTTCATTCATTCTTTCTTCTCTTTTTAATGATTTTTGTTAAAGACTTTAAACTTTACCTTGTTCGTTCTCTTTTGATTATCAGTGCATAGTAATTGCTTACTATGCAAAGATCCTATCAAAAGCAGTCAGTAAATTATTCTCATTTGATCAGGCTGGGTTCGATCATAAGAAGTTTACTTTAGAAGGGGAAATTTTACCAATTCGATGCAGAATCGATCACTTACACTAACTCCAGTTTTTTCACAAAGAAATTTATACTTTTTTCTTATTCTGAAAGGTGTAGGCATAAATGTGAATATCCTGCTGATTCTCGCTGATCTATATCCACATTTATAAATTCTCAATAGTAGCACTTGAATGCCTAGTCAGGTCAAATATGGTACCACACGATGTAATTATCAGTTTCGACGATATCTTCTTTTTTTCATTATAAATACCTTTCTATACTTTTAATTATACTAGCGATTTTTTTTTTGTAGTTAAGCATCTGTCGACTGTTCAATTATATTCAATTAACAATTTGGATGAAAAACTATTACGGTAGATTTTAATTATCAACATATTATCGCTGGTTTATCAACTTCGTTGACGAAATATGGGGTGTTCTGCTAGTGTACAACCTTTGACGATTGCTCAGCCAAATGCTATAATGCCACTCACAAAAAGTCCTACGTCGTCCAAATCACTTACTGCCTCTGGACAGCCAAGCGAATTAGTTCAAGTTAAACATTTTCTCGAAGTATCGACTCAAACTGATGACACTCAAAAGGTTGATGCAAGTGTAAATACAACAGTAGAGAGTGAAAAAATTGGCAATGATGGTTCATCCTTCAATGATACAACTTTACCGATTGTCCAAGATCCAGAGAAACATCCAATAACATGTCTGGTTCAACCAAAACCAAAATTAGTAACATTGAGCGATCAACTAAACGGCTTTTCCAATCCTCGTCTCAGTGCAAAGCCCAGTAGCGAAGAAATACGATGGATACTCAAAGATTTTGACGCTCAGCAGTACTGCATGATGATTCAACAGGAATTTTTTTCTCTTGGTTCAATGTCTATTCAGGAAGTTGTCGATGCTATGAAAAAGACGCAAGACCTTCAAATACTAAACCAAGATGTGTGGTCGCTGCTTGAAGAAGCAGTAAAAACAGGTGATGCTTCATATTTCATTCGAGCCTATACTGCTGAAAGTGACTTCTACAAGATACTCAATCGCAAATTGGCTCAGCAAGATCTAAAAGAAACCGAAGATGGGGACGCGGAGGAGCAACTAGAACTACTTATGGGAACCCTTTTTCAAAATTTGAACCAAATAGTCTCTCGTACTCAAGCACTTCAAGCAGGACAACCATTGCCGATTCAACATAGAAACGAGTCGAATTGGGCCAAATTGTTCTTACGACCGCTTTATATGCTGCTTGTGACACCAAACTCGAGCATTCGATTTCAGGGATCGACATTTCGAGGTATGTGGATTTCACTCGATGAATTAAAATGTTACGTGGAAAACACAAAATTCGTATGTAATAAAGCAATTACATCCACATCAAAACTTCGTACTGTTGCTCAAGGTTTTATAGACCGTGTTCGTGATCCGCCAGCGGAAATGCTGTCTGCTATGTTCACATACATAGTAGAGTCGTATAGTGCATTATATGCGATAGACATAAGTAATTATTCCCTGATACCAGAAGAAGAGGAAGTACTATTGTTGCCTGGCGTATTTTTTATTGTTAGCAATGTTCAGTTTATCCCTCCACGTTCGGTAGAAATTGAACTTCGATCTTCTGTGCAAGATCTGGCTAACATGATGTCATCAAGTTTAAGTACTTTATTTTCAGTTTTTCGCCAATAAAAAAAGACAATTATGCACTTATCTTATGGGTGAATAGATTTTAGGGTAGGCAATAGATGAGCATTCATTTCACCCACTCATTTGAAGTACTTTAAAAGTTCAAGATTTGTTCAAGTTTATCTCAGTTCTTCATCACATGTTCAAAATATCTGGGAGATATATCAACATATGAATAAATAAACTTGCTTCTAACTCTGCACAATAATGTCCTCAGCATTCATTTTCATATAAGCACCGAATATGCCACAGCATAGCCATTCACACTGTCGAATGGTATGGAACTCTTGCTGATTTTTTTTGAATTTGCCTTCGTACAGATCAACACCTTGGAAATTGGTTTGATTTTCTGCTACAATCATTATTTTTAATCAGTTGTTTTGTATGGAGAAATCAGCTCATATCTATACCTTAGGAATACAATCCAGACGATGAAATACTATCACAAGTTTTGCTTGAATGAGCTGAAGATGTTCTTGATTATTGTTAGTGTTGATAGAGGGCCAGTCTTCAAAATGAATCTTGTTGAATTAGAGAAAATAGTGACAAGATACAGCAAAAACACAACCTGTGGCATAGTAGCAAATATTCAATCAGTCAAAGAGTGCAGCAACCAATGTGCCATGATTCACTTTATACTGCTCAGTTTCTGTGGGATCTCATAAGTACGCGAACTCTATCCTTCCTTCGCAACGACTTTAAATGATCTTAGAACGCTTTTCCTAGTGCAAAACCTTTTTTGAGAACAACATTTAAAATTTAGTCGATCCAAATATCATCATGCACTGATGGCAAGCTGTAGCGACAGAATATATCGCTATGTAATTCATAGCACTATTCATTTATCGAAGATTTCGACATCATGTTTAATAGAACCTCTAATCCTAAAAATGATCTTGGACCGACATATTGTGGATATTCACAAATGATAATAGACTCAGACCTCTCTAGTTGCTGTCTTAGAACACTTGAGATAAAGAATTATATTCGTATAGCTCCGTGAATGTGAAAGCCACAGTCTTGGATTCGATGCCGATTGAGTAGTTGTACTTTTCAATCTTGACTAGTTGTGAAAGTAGTTTTTCAGACTGAATTTGAGGTGTTCTACGCACGTCAATTCTCTCGGAAGTTCGCTTCTCGATCATTCTCTGAAACACAGTTTTACGACCCAAATGAGAACAAGAAATAAGTTTTTTTTTATCTCAAGTAAATTGCAATCTTAACGTTTTACTTTCATAGTTATGCTCATCGCTTAAATGGAAAAAATGACTTTAAAGCATCTTTAATGTTGAGCTTGAGTTCTGCAACCCATATCCTAAATATGTGATTCAACGTGTGAACTAACTATGGCAATTAGTGAACATTAAAAAAAGTAAATATACCATACACAGCCTCAAAATGTTTCTTGCAAAAAAACGCATAGCAATACATTTTGTGCCAGAAAAATAAACCATTGAATGTCATAGATATTAAGAAATTACAGCTGCATTGCATCAATATTGAGTAATTACAATTGCATTCAGCATAAAAAACATTAGGTAGTCGAGTTACAACACGTGGAGAATAGTTGACAAAAAGAAAGCAAAAACAAACAGCAACGAAGTCCAATTGAGCATCATTTTCGAAATGTATCGAAATCGATTTCTGGGAACTACAGATTGGAATACTGTTACATCGTTGTTAAGTAATTATTCGATACCAATAAAACTAGCCGATGGCATTGTATTGAATCGAGTGAAAGAGCAAGATGATTTAATTTTACTTGAATTGGGTACTTTATTGAGCAACCACGAATGCGATGAAATTCTGACTAATATTAGTAAAGAAAAATTCGAAAATATGTTATTTAAGTATGATGTTCAAAAACGCAATAATTCTCGATTAGTCGTCATGGATGATCAATTCGCTCAAACACTTTGGCAACGTCTAAAATTTAGCAACAAAATAACTAAATTAGTTTCTAATAGAAAACCATTAGGATTTAATGTGCAAGGCGATTGGGAGATTAGTGGTGTGAATAAAGCCATGCGATTGAATAAATACCGTCATGATGAACATTTTGCACCTCATAAAGATGCACAATATGCTCCAAGCGGAGATGAACGATCATTATTAAGTTTAATAATCTATTTGAATGACAATTATGAAAAAGGTGAGATGAAGTTTTATTTTCCCAAAGCAGCACCAAAATTCAATATGAAAGGATTAACAATTGAGGGAGAAATCCAAGCTTATGGTGGATTGGAAAATGGATATGAATGTGTGTCGATTAAACCAAAGAAAGGTTATGCTGTTCTTTTTACACATAATCTCTTACACGCGGCCATGGCACCACAGATGGAAAATTCTCTCAATTTAACGGAACGTATCGTCTTGAGAACTGATGTACTCGTACAGAGAAACGAAAAACCACTCGGATTTGCCATTTGCCCAGAAGAACAAGAAGATTATGTTGCTTGTCTGAATTTGTTTCGTGAAGCTCAACAAAATGAATTGAAAACATATGAAAACTGTAGTGAATTCGTTAAAACAAGTGAAATCAGTGAATTATACGAACGTTCACTATCGATTCGATATAGTTATCCACGACTACTCGAACAAAAATCGAGAGCGCAAATCATCCATCAAGATGACAAAAAACCACTGATTGACAAACTCCCTTCTGAGATGTGGCTTCATATTTTCAAATATTTGCATGAACAAGATGTGCAACATTTAATATTTGCATTTCCACAGTTTCAGTTATTGAAAATTGCTTGGGATGCTCAAATGAGAAAAAATTTCGAAAAAGATGACCACCTTCAAAAATTTATTCCAACTATTCATACTAAATATGGTAGCCGAACTCTATTTCGATTTTCTGATAATGACTTTTTCTATCAACATATCGAAGGATGTTGTCGAGTGGTCGCCGTCTATGCTTTCTTCCTATTAGGACATCGGGACGATTCAACGACGTACACTGTTCGATATGACAGAAATACACAGGAAGTATGTGAAGTCAAGATGGAGAGAATATTGGCAGATGCATTTTACAATCGTAATTGTTATGGTTCTCTCTATCGAGTAGCACAAAAGGATGAATCAAAACGGCAGCCAAAGATTGACTTAGATTATAGTGTTGATCGTACCTATATGATAAATCGTCATCAATCTCAATTTATTGGACAAGATCTTTTATCACAATTTCATTTCAAAATGCACATTTCTGATTCGTCGAATTCTGAAAGAAGTGACTCTTATGGTAGTGATAAGTTAGATAAATCTTGCATATTGCACTATCAGAGAATTCATGCTTTGTACGATCGAGAGAAAAAGCTGGTAGATGAAAATTCAATTATTGAAGAAGATAGTTATGCTTGGATGAATAGGACAGATTGTTCAAGAGATGATATTATGGGTTATTGTCAAAATTTATTAAGACAGACAGAGCAAAAATCGGGCACAAGTCTCTTACGAATTTTATTAGCGGAAGATCATGTCATCAATAGAATATGTCGCTGCTCAGTAGGTATTCATTCAGATATGAACGAAGTTGAAAATTTGATTGTCTACTATAATCATCTTATATTCGATTTTGATACACATCGATTGGCTGTTGAACAGCTGTCAGATGGGAAATCAAATTCTACTGATCGTGATTCGCTTTTATACAGTTGCCTTAGAACCCTTCAACGTTCAGTACCACGAGGAAATCCTATTACATACTATCGTGTTAATATTGAAAAATTGGCAGAGGTAACAAAAGGATTCAATCATGCATCCTGTCAATGTTCGTATCCAGAAGTTAAAATCGATCAATTTTCATTTCTCGATTATACATATTTGTCACATGTACACTTAGCTGTTGGTCAAAACAAAAATTATGTGTTTGTTTTAGCCACTTATGGTGGCGTTGCTGCATTGTAGTTTGCGATGATTATCTAAAAAAAACGATGAATTTTGTTTTCAGGTACTTTCCTTATCATTGAAATAAATCAACAACCAATCATTGAGATCTATCTAGATGTGTTGGATAGACGATTTGGTAATCTCAACTTTAGTCGACAGTCAAAATGTCGAAATATAAAAGTATCGAAGAATAAAAATGTCGATGAAGTCTTCAGCATGTTTTCTTTTTATTGAGTATATAAAAATATAAAAAGTTTAACTTGGATAAAATTTATTTATTAAAAACAGAACAGATGAAAAACAAGTAAATGTTGTAGATAAGTCAGTTGATCAATATTGATTAACCTTCTTTAGGGTGTGAGTGTGGGTGGATATTGGTGTGATTAAGTGAAGAAACGACCGACACTCACATCCTCAAGATTTTCTACAATCTTATAGTAAGACTTTACAGAACAGCAAGATTTTTCAAGAATCTTAAAGTACGATCTGATGTAAGAGTTCTGAGACTTCGATTTTTTGTACGATTATCATCTTACAAGATCATACAATATCAGAGGTATGATCTTGTAAGATCTTACCCTCTGATTGTTTGATCTCGGGACTTTCGCATTTGATCTTATACAATCATGTAGGATTCGTATTTTGAAAATCATATATGTTTCATTCGTGATGGGACTTATCTGATCCTATATGATCAGGGTGGTACTGTAATATATATCTTCTTGTAAATTTCGTGCATTGAGTTTCTTGCAAGATTTTTGGCTTTATCTTATATTAAGAATCATTCGAAGTCTTGCATTTATATTTAGCGTACGATCTTGGTTGATCTTATCGTAAGATCATATAAAAAAATCTTGTATGCATAAGATCTTACAAAGCCCTGTACGATCTGACGCCTGATTTTTTTTTGACTTGGAAGGAAAACAAAGAACTATAAGAATACAAGAAATTGTATAATTCACATGAGAAAATTTTATAAGTTCAAAAATATGCCTATTTATACAAATTGAAACGAAGTAAAAACTACAGCTAAAAAACCTAGTCTTGTCTTCTATTATTAATATTTGTGTCTAATTTTTTTTTCTACTGACTAAACTTTATGTCTTTAATTGTTATTCTTGTTCGTCATTATTCACAGCTGTTGGAGAATATAC